TTGCGCGAAAACAAGCGTTGTCCATAAGCGAGGGCAACCTATAGCCACGTTTCGCCAATGGGGTGTGACATGGGTGACTTTAACCCAATCGATGGAGGGCTGTGCGGGCTTGTATGTGGCTGCGCAACAAATGAATATTTTGGAGAGTAGTTCAGGGGGGAGGCGCGATATGGGAGCTACACTATTGCGAGGAGACTTAAACACTCGTTCAGCAGCTTGTGCAGCAACTGCGTTGCGAGATTCCCACTTCCGTTCTCGCAACTCAATCATATCCTGAACATTTTGATTTAGTGCGGTTGAGCAAATCTTGAAATTTTAATACCGACCTGCAACATGAACTGCATTCGTAAGCTGACATTCTGGTTCTTGGAAAGCCCCTTCATTCGAGAGAAATAGACGTCCATATGGGCCCGGGCCTTCGGTGTGTCGAGACTGGCACCGACAGTGGTCAGCAATGCGCACAAACTTTCGATCTCTTCCTCCTTGGGTTTATCCACGTTTATGAGCAGTTTCTTGACGCACTCATGCATAATACGTTCGCTCAGCATTTGTAGTTTGAAGAGTTCGCCAATGAACTTGATCAGACCGAGACCTTGTCGCTTGGCCTTCTGTGCAGCGTAGTATTCATCAGAATATGGCGCGAGTTCCTCAGTCCCAACTTCCCTGCTCTGCTGGTTGGCAACCTTTGCAGCTTCATCCCTCGAGGCTTTGACAGCAGCAGCAGCGGTTGCCTCCTTCGCTACCCAACCGCGCTCAAAGTGTTCTTGACATCTGTTGAGCAAGTATTTTCGGAACAGTTGGCCACCAGCAATGGGCTTTCCTTCAGTATTCCTGATACCCTCATCCTGAACTTTGTGGCTGATTTGTTCCATCATTTCCCTGCAAAGGCGAGCGTACACCTCCGACCAAGTAGCTCCATCAATAGCATCCACAAAGACAAGTCGAATAACTTGAATGAGAGTCCTTCCGTCCTTCTCCTTCTCCGACTTACTCGCCCAAGCGATAACCTGTTTGGAGATAGAATCAAA